CTGCAATGGCAAAGCTGGATTTTCAGCAGCAATTATTCCAGTCTTCAGTGTCACGTGATCCTTCAGAAATCATTGTCATATGATGATTTGCTGCTCAAGAAACATTAATATGTTTGTGAAAACTGTGATACATTTTTCAGGATTCTTTGATGAACAAAAAGAACAGAATTTATTTGAAATAGTAATCATTTAGAACATTATAAATGTCTTTACTGTCAATTTTGGTCAAATAAATGCATCATTGCTGAAAAAAAGTAATAATAAAAAAAAAAAATGACTGACCCCAAACTTATGAGCAATACATATTTTTCAATGCAAATCACTTACACATTACATTACATACTTAATAACTTTAACTTACATATAAATGTATACTTTACATATATATGTATACTATATATATATATATATATATATATATATAAAGAATTTGAAATAGAAATCCTTTGTAACATAAATGTCTTTACTGTCACTTTTGATTATTTTTAAATTTTAAATTAAATTTTTAATTACACACACACACACACACACACACACACACACACCGTGAACACACACCCAGAGCAGTGGGCTGTACATTCACTCCCCCCACCTACAATCCCTGTCGGTACGAGACTCGAACCCACAACCTTTGGGTTACGAGTCCGACTCTCTAACCATTAGACCACGACTTCCCACGACTAATCAGAAACCAAAACAGATGTTTTTAGCAGGTACGAGCTGTAATGGCACAGCTCTCTATTCTGGAAAAAGGGGCGGGGAGCAGCAGCTCATTTGCATTTAAAGAGACAGGTCCAAAAAACAGCGTGCTTCTGCTTCCACTCAAAATAGGCATTTTCAAAATGATATAATAAATGATCTGTGCAGTATTTTGAGCTGAAAATTCATAGACACATTCTGGGGACACCAGAGACTTATATTATATATTGTAAAAAGAGGCATAATATGTCTCCTTTAAATTTCTGAAAAAAAATAAATAAATTATTCCAAACTGATCCCAAACTTTTGAACGGAAGTGTATATTTTTTATATAACATTTACATACTTCAAAAAGGAGTTTTAAAATAAAAAGCGCTAACGTTTCTTTCTGTTCTTGTCTCTTGTATTAGACTCAGAGTATTCCCGAACACTGCTGCAAGCCTGGGTTCCATTACTGCCCTCCTGGAAGTGTAAAAAACGTTACGGCAGTCGCTTCACCAGCCGCATGTTGTGTGCCGGCAGCTTGTCGAACCATCGCCGTGTGGACAGTTGTCAGGGTGACAGTGGGGGGCCACTGGTGTGCCAGGGTGAGGCTGGCCACTGGATGCTCACAGGAATCATCTCCTGGGGTCACGGTTGTGGCGACCCCACCTATCCCGGTGTGTACACACGGGTCGGCCGGTTCCTGAAGTGGATAGAGAAAGTCACCCACAGCACTGGCAAAGCGTGATGTTACAGTGTTGACATTAAAACCACTTACTGCATTGTATAAAATATATTATGTAATGCCTATGAAGGGGTTACCAGCTGGCCGTTAGGTTTAAAGCTGGTTTGATCCTTTTTTATGTGTTGCACATTTTACTACTTGCACCATACCATTTCAATTCCATTTCTGTACACTTGAAGCATTCGTGAACATGCACAAGAACATGAAGCCACATGTTTTTGAGGGACAGCTGCATTAAGTGAGCAGAGTTTTCCGGGATTGAAAGGTCGTCAACGGATAAGCCTTTGTAAATAAGTCATTTTGCACTAATCTGCATGCCATATAAATGGAGCATCTGTGGGAGGTCTGTGTTCTGGTCTGGCTCTTCTGGATCAGGTTCTTAAATTAGTTCACATATTGCGCTTAAATGTCTTTTGTTGTGCTGGAGTTAATTAAGACAAGGAACGACATGCATATATGTAAAGATTCATGAACATTCCACTTGTATGCTGGTTATTTGTACTCTTGTTGAAGGTGTATAGGGTACGACTACCATTATTGAGCTTATAATTAAATTTTTCAAGGGGATGCAGAAAACCAGTGTCAGAAAATAGTATGTTCAGTTTATTTATACATATAACAATGCAAAGATTTTTTTTCAAGCTCCTACACAACAGATAATGTGATAATATCAGTGATATGAAGAATTGGACTGTTAATTGGCTGGATATTATGGAGCCCCGAAGTGGGCATAGTGATGGACAAAATATAAAAATTATATATCAATGCTTTTGCGTTCACTTGCAAAATGTTTGTTTCCCTTTGAAACTTTGCATGTGCTTGCCAAACATTTGCCTTTTTTTGCTACATTTTTACATTCCCTTGTGAATCTTTGCATTTGCTTGCTGGATGTTTGTGTTTTCTTGCAAAATTTTTATGTTCTCCAAGAAAGTTTGCATTTTGTGAGTGAACATAAAACTGGTCATGGAAATACTATGATGGGAGGAAATCTATAGATTTAATGTTTTTGCAAGTGAATACAAAGTTTCTTGGGGGAACACAATACTTTTTGTGAAAGAACACAGGTTTTGCAAATTAACGCAATATAATGAAATACAATTTTTCTTTTTTTGTTTCCATCACTATGTTTCCTTAGGGGCTCTGAAGGGTCACACTTTAGTTTGGGGACCAATTCTTAGTATTAACTATGACTTTGGCCTCAATAAACTCCTAATTTGCTGCTTATTAATAGTTAGTAAGGTAGTTGTTAAGTTTAGGTGTGAGGTAGGATTAAGGGGTCTAAAATATGGTCATGCAGTATAAGGCATTAATATGTGCTTTATAAGTACTAATAAACAGCCAATATGCTAGTAATATGCATGCTAATAAGTGCCTAGTTAATAGTGAGAATTTGTCCTTAAACTAATGTGTTACCCTCCTTAGTACATTGTTTTAAATTAAACACTTATTGCAGGGCAACAGACTTGAAGTTTAAACTTAAAACTACACAAAACTATTTCACAAATGGTCAGAATCTGCTGCTGAAAGTACGATATGTCATCTGTTAACCTACTTCTGTCAGTCATCATATTACATTGAAGTTCTGTTAGAGGGGCTGGAGTGATGTTACATTTGCTTCCTGCAGTGTTCAGGTGTTTTTCAGGTTTATTGTTGTATTTATTGACATAACAAGAAGATATGCGCTTATAAATTCATTGTTTCTTGCTTTGATTAATGAATTGAGCTGTAATAGTGGTGCTGTTTTGTTCCAGCTGGTGTCCCAATCAAGAAATACTGAAACTAGGCATTGACAGAAAGAGAGATGGAGAAGATCACTTTAGTAATTAGTCAAGTTTACACAATACCAAGTACAATTCCATGTAGTCCAAACGGTTCAAATGATGTAGATGCTTTGGTTCTTAATATTCTATGAATGGACTGTTATTAATCAATCCCAAACAGAAACTTTGATGTAATTATGTAAAAATGTAAAGGCTGCTAATATGTCATATTTAGCCTTGGTTAAAAACTGGTTTAGAAAAACTGTGAATAGTCAGATGTTTAGACACCAAGTTGGAAAAATGAGATAAACTGATTTGAACACATGACCTTGTTTCCTCATTATTTATTTTTTTTATTTTTTTTTTTGTTCTGCAAAATGGTGATCTGAAAGCAAAAACAAGTCAATCAAAAATGCATAATGTTCTGGCATCATGATCATTTCATTTCAACACATTGTGTTTGTATTAAATGTTGAAAATCATCATTGACCATATTAACTATACTGCAACAGGCTCATTGTAATTAAATAAATGAAAGGGATTTGAATATAAATCATTGTTATTAATATATGGTAAATCTCTCTCTCTCTCTAAATATATATATATTCTAAATACATATATTTACTGGAATGACTTGAAAAAGTTATCGGTTTTGCAGATATTTTAAGACTGTCTTTTAATATGGGCATCAAATAAAAATCTATATATTTTTGAATTGTATATTTTGATTAAATGTCCATTGTGATATAATATAGTATATCACAGTATAATTTAGTATAATTTATATAATTATAAGTAGTATAATTTATCTTACCAATTTCACCTCTAGACTTAATTTGAACAGTTACTTATTTTAAGATAAACAGATTTAGAATTATGGCTTATTTGTCTGTTACATGTTGCCAAATACTTCATTACAAAGGAATAATGTTTTGTTAAAAAAGCATCATTGCACCATATGTAATTACTATTATGTAATCAAGCAAATAAACCTTCAATTTGGGTGGCACCAAATTAAAACACACACACACACACACACACACATAAAAGTGATGTTTACTGGATTGGACACTGGGTCTGAGGGTCAGAAACAAAATCCACTATTTGTGTAATACCAATAACATTATAATGGCTTGCATCGCTCAAAGATCAAAGAGGCTCTAAACAAGTTACCATCTTGTATTAATTTATTGTCATTAATTTAGGCTATTTGATTGTAATGTCCCAAATCAGTTCGACACACTCATGGCAATCTGTTGCACAATATTTAGTTGTTGATACTGAAGTATTACGGTAAATCAAACAATTGAAATGCATTCTAAATTATTTATAATTTAGAACCAGACCTACATACCCATGAACAAATAACTGCCATATAATGTGTTATGCAAGACAAAATGCTATGAAACGAGATAGTGTTTGTCTGCTTTAATGTCGAGCGGAAGTGCGGATCAGCTGATGCTGGAGAGCCATCTTCATCTTCCCGAGCAGAGGAGAGGAGGGGTACAGGACAGAGAGAACAGGGGGAACTCGACTCCAAATTGTCGGCTTAAAAAGACATTTTAGATCCAGAGAGCACTGGCTGCTTAGAAACGGAGGACTAGAAAAGAACCGGCCGGTGACACATGAAGACAAGCGGATGACAAGCTTTTACACACAAAGGAGAAGACATATATATCAGGCAGCTAGAGGTGGCATAAAGACAATTTATTATGTTTTCCACGGATGGGCGTTTGTCTTGGTCGAGGGGTCAAATCTGCATTTTAGTCGTCTGATTTTACTATAAACCTACATAGAGGCACAATGCTGAGATAAGAGCACTGGCGAGTCGTTTGTTTTGTGTAACCAGTGGATCGACAAGACTCGGATTAGGGATCAAGGCTTTTGTGTCAAAACATCAAAACAGTGTTATTCCGTCTGGTTATGTGTAGGGATATAAGCACTGCTCGTGTCAGCGCTTATTTTGACAGTTTTTGAAGTGTTTGGGATTTCGGGCAAGCCGGAAAGCTAGCAGGCTAACCGACTAGCCTTTCGGAATTAGCAGAGCTACCTCGATCGACATAAAAACAACCGTACCGGGGTTGTTTTGGGTTAACACAGGTTTACTGTTGTGATATGGCCTTATTTAATAGAAATAAGCCCGCGCAGGGTCATTAGTTGTACTTGGGGACCTGTTTTTTCTTCAGCGCGCTCTTGTTTTGTTAGCCTTAGAGCTGCTGTGGGACTCGAGGCTCAGCTGGTAGGACAAACAGAGGAGAGGGGGTTTAAATTAAAATCTGAGTGTAAAGAACTCATGCTCGCTAAAACGCCCTGAACTGTACTAACATGTTTTCATGCAAGTGAGTCACTACAGTTGCTGTCAATTAACACCACTTTCTATGTAGGTAGTACTTACGAGCAGTGAGACCAACAGATAAGTTGGTAAGTACATCTTATTTCATAAGATTTAAACCTCAACAAAGGTCCAATGATACATCTCTGGAGTGTTTTTGTCCTGTAGGTCCACACTTGACAATGTAAGACAACACTTAGGTTAAAAAAACTGAGGAGTATATAAGTTTATGAAATCTTAGCTATGGGTTGTTTCACTTTTTTCAAGAACTAAACCCCTGAGTGTCTCCAGCAGTTGGGGTCTAAAAGCATGGATTAACTTCACTTAACTGCACCACAGTCGTGTGCAAATCCTCCGTTTGACACCCTAAATATATATTTTCAGGAAACACAGGCTTTCTTGAGGGACTTTGCAGGGCCCCTCACACAGTGTTTGGGTTGAGTGTGAGATTCCCCTCCCCCTGAGCGAGTGTCACTCTCAAAACAACAGAAGTGCAGAGGCACGTTCAGTTGAAGCTTTCAGGTCTCCACACAGCAGATGTGATGGAACTGATGTTCGCTGAGTGGGAAGACGGAGAGAGGTTCTCATTTGAAGATTCGGACCGTTTTGAGGAGGACTCCCTGTGCTCATTCATATCAGAGGCAGAAAGTCTCTGCCAGAACTGGAGAGGATGGAGGAAACAGTCAGCCGGCCCAAATTCACCCACTGTGAAGATTAAAGGTAATGGAAGATTGTCTTCATGTGCTGTGAAGTGGTTTATGTACTGTCATTGTAATGTGAGCACACTGTGCCTTGGCATGGCTGCACCTTTGACCTCGGGATGTATTCTTAACTTATGGGCAACACTGTCATGTTCAAAACTACCAAGTTTAACTGTCCTTTCATACATGGGCCTTTTTGGTCAAATTAGTTAACTTTGTATGTATCAGTTATATTTGATTATATTTAGGGTGAACATAAATAATATATTTTATATATTATTTTGT